AAAGGCACTGTTTACCCTTATAGGGATGACAGTATCACATGTGCCATTCCAGGAAAAAGGCTCAGAAATAGAGAGGTTCTTGAATGTGATGTTATAGCACATCTGTGTTCTAAGAGAGCTAAACAAGTAACTGCAGTTAAAGAAAATTTTAAAACACCCTGTAGCATGTATTTTCATTAGGAACACGTACTCTGACCAAAGATCATGACTCTTTCGTGTGCGTGGAAGTCATATTTTTGGAATGTCATGAAAAATGGAGAAGTATATGAAAGGCATTCAAGCTTTAGGAAGTAATGTGCTAGTAGGGATTTTAGATTAAAGAGGTAATAAGATCTGCCTAGCCAGACTGAAGAGAGACGGTTTAGTAGTGAAAAATAAGGCTATCAGACAAGTAAATGGCAGGTTGGAAAATAAAAATGTATCATTTGAATGGCAGGGAGCCACTGCCTGTTTTTCAAAAAGCAAGATATTGAAGTTATCATACCCTCTGCATCATTTAACTTGAATGTTAAGGAGTTTGAGTGACAGTAGAAGGGAAAAATTGTAGTAATCCTCCCTGAAGATTAGGGTCCACTTTATTAATTTATATCAGAGGTTGAGGTTCAAGTGTAGATTAAATATAAAATGAAGAACCAGACAGCTCTTCTGCATAATTGGATGCAAGTAACAAAGGACAAAGAATAGTTGCAGACTAGTTCCTATGCTGTAGAAGAAAACTTAATGTTCTAATATAGAACTTTGAATTTGGGATGATTGTATGGGTAAGATGGAAGTAAGCCCTGTCTTCACGATGTTAAGTGTGATGAAGTATCTACATTATGTAGTTAAACTAAAGTCAATCAGATTTGAAAAACTGCTGTACTCAACAGATTGGAACTATGGCAAGAAATTCACCACTGAGTCAGCCGAAAGGCCTCTGCTGTGGGACAGGCCCAGAGCTCAGAGTGGACACTTGAGAGGTGTAACATGCAACACCTCTTCTCAAGTCTGACCCTGAGTTCAGGGCATTACTGCTACATATAAGAACCAAATCCAAATGCTCAGAAGGAAGAAATGGTTCTTATAGATGTGATAGCTCAAGAAACAGAGATGCCTGTTGCTTTGAAGAGATGTTGTGGGGCCCAGAGAAAGGCAAGAGAGATATGATTATCTCACCCTACCCATCTGAGCTCAGACTCAAAGGTGAGAAGCAGCTCCTGATTCAGTGCATGAGTGAGCAGCAGAGATACCCCCAAAAAGTAAAGCGACTTCTTAAAATTCCAGAGGTCTGAGTGATGGAGGGATACAGTGGCTAGGTTTTACTTGAGGCCTGTTTGCTAGGGTAGGGATTGGAACTGGTGGCTGAGCAGGAAAAGGCAGGTAGGATCCTGGGTGTAGTCCACCGTGCCCTAATTGAGCCACTTCCCTCATGCTGTAAACACCACACCCCAAGCTACAGCTGAAGGGCCAAAGTCTCTAATCTTGACTTTACCTGCACTTGATTGGTGGTACTCACTTTATGCTTCAGGAGTTGTTGGAGTGAGTAGTTTATCGGCCCCACAGCAAATGTGGATTAGAGTTCTAGGATAGCAAGGAGGAGAGAGAGGAAGAATCCCTATTACAGAGGGAGAGCTACAGCAAATTCCTTACCCCCTATGAAGCTTAGAGTTCTCATGGGTGAGTTAGACATTGAACAGATTTTTTAAAAAAATTTTTAATGAACTGATCGGCCATTGTAGTAGGAAATGTGTTAGGAAATGAAGTCAGATAGGAAGCTGCCTTGATTTGGGTGAGTGTCCCAGACTTCTGTGACCATTAACATTTGAGCTGAGATCCAAAGAGTAAGGAGCATCTAGCCAGAGAAGGCCAGTGGGGAAGCAGTCAATGGGAAGTGAAAGTGGGGACCACTGGAAGGATTTTAGGCTGGGAAGAAGAGAACAGTTTGATGACTACAGTGCCCCAAGCCAGATGTGCTGGGATCATGATCCAGAATGGCAGTGATGTGTGAACAAAGGATAAGACATCTCTGACTCAGCCAAAGTCAGAAAAACGGAAATCATGCTGGTGTTGGTAGAAAGTCATCCCTTCCCAGGTTGGGAGTGTCAACTGGGAAACCTGTTGGGAGCAAGAAGACTTATGATCTGTTTTTTCAGAGCATGTTGGAACAAGCTGGTGCCCTGAGGAAGAGGGTAACGGAGTGGCAGGGAGCTGGAACATAGGCATAAGACTGTGGTATAACTTTTGCACAGAATGGGAGGATGCTTAAGAGGCAGCCCACCCAACACAGGGTAGAATCTTCTTGCTTGTGTACCAGTGTATACTCTACCACTGGGTAAGGGAAGCATGTGGAGAGGCTCTTGGGGCTTTTCCAAGTGGCTGAGACAAGGCAGACAAGATTGCTGTAGAACTAGTAGTGTGGGCAAGTGATACCAGTGACAGAAGGACAAGAAGCCAACAGAGAGACCCCAGAAGAGAGCTTTGGACACGAGGGTAGACCAGAAGGAGCCACCATGAGTGCTGAGCCAGGTGTGCTGGAAGGGTGGTCCAGGGTCACAAAGTGGGCTAATCCTTTCAGTCATTTTGATTACCTGTTGTCTGTCTCATAATTCAGTGATAAAAGTTTGCTTTTATTAGAGGCAAATGATTGGCAAGTAGGTTGGACTTCAATGAGTTCTAATTCTATAATAAAACATTTCCTTTTAATTATTGTGTCTACCTTTGTCAGGTTTTGGACTGCTTGAAGCACCTCTGGTCCTTTAAGCAAACAGAATAGATGTGTTGAATGCACCAATTGTGTGAAAGGGCTTCTGTGGGGTACCTGTTGCTGCTCTTTAGTACAGCTCCACAGCCATCAATGGTGGAGAGTTGGGTCTCTGGCTTTTAGCACTAATTACAAAGTCCAAACTTTCCTGGAGCTGCCCTTAATAATAATCATACCTTGTGTAGATATAGAGCTTTACAGTTCACAGAGCACTTTCACATACATTGTCTCATTTAATCTTTGTAATAAACAGTGCTCTTTGAATATTTGGATCTTTCCTATGTGAGAAAACATTTCACAGCCTGATTTAATCATAGGGAGTTGCCAACAGTTTCTTGATACAGTAACCATTTATTGAGTATCTTCTATGCACAAGTCACTTCACTAAGAGCACCAAGGATAAACTTTCAGGAAATAAATAGCTAATAAAAAACACCTATCCAGTAAATACGATCTTTTTTTAAGATTTTTTTTTTTTTTGGTACTGGGGATCGAACTCGGGTCCTTGCACTTGCGAAGCAGGCAGTGGAACCACCGAGCTAAATCCCCAGCCCTTCCAGTAAATACGATCTTGTCTTATAATTCATCTTCCTTTCCTCATCACCGTCATTATTTTGAAAGCTAGTTGCTGTGCTATAAGTTTATATAAATATTGCTAGAAATTCTTATATCAGAGTTAAAGTTTTAAAACTAAGAATTCTGATACTCTTTGAATCTTGGTGATTCTTCCAGAAGTCATTCTAGTAAACTTGTACTTTGTTGAAGATTATCTCTTACTTGAGTCTCAAAAATATTTCAGGCTCTCAGCATGTCTAAAAATGCCTACTGGCTTCATTGTCTTGATTGAATTGATCAAGGTATGGTTCAAGATAAATGCACACATAAATACAACTGAGGGGCCGGGGATTTAGCTCAGTGGTTCCACCACCTGCCTCACAAGCGCAAGGTCCCCAGTTCAATCCCTGGTACCAAAAAAAAAGGAATACCACTGACCCCTGGCCCCAAAAAGCTTGTTATCCAGTAGGGGAAAATAAAAAGACCTCTAGGTTCTGTGAACTGGACTGGATGGAGATGCTGTACAGAGATGAGGAGAGAAAGGATTTCCCAGGAGACTGTTTTCTAGGTGAGGTAGGGGACAGAAGGTAGTGTGGGAGCCAGGTCCAGTAGCAGGGTAACCTCTTAAAGCTGTATTTAGAAACCCCCAGAGTATCCAGGCTCCTGTGGGCCACTGACTCCACAAAAAATATGCAAACTTTGAGGTCTTACTGAAGATCCTCCAAAAAGAAGGGGGTCCCAAAAGTAATAGGAACCTCTGCCTTCAATGAGCTATGTGACCCACAAATCATGGTTCCTTCCTCCATCAAGGGCTGGGTGATACCCTGAAGTCCAGGGTTGAACCTCAGCTGTGAAACCTATTTTGAACCAGGTATGGTAGTGTGTGCCTATAATCCCAATATTCCGGAAGGCTGAGGCAGGCAGATCATAAATTCAAGCCCAGCCTGGGCAATTTAATGAGACATTGTCCCACAATTTAAAAGAGGTTAGGGTGTAGCTCATGTGAAGGCCCTAGGATCCCAGTACCACCACCAAAAAGAAAAAAGAGGGGTTGGGGAAGGGAGGGAAAAGGGGATGGGGAAGGGGACAAAACCTGTTTGGTTGATGAAACTGCATGGGTGACCAGGTACTGTGGATGTATCAGGCCGCCTTGGTGCAGCTGTTACTTCTCCAGGTGTCTTCATGCTCCTTCTTAGGCATCTTAGCTTTATTAATGTCAGTAATGCACTGTTCTTACTCAGCTGTTTATGTGAACGGGTGGTTTGGGAATTGGGGAAGGACAAACCCAAATGGCCTAAAATATATATATATATATTTTTTTTTTTTAACTAGTGCACACATTTCCTAGACATGTTAATTTTTAGAAAGTTTTCTCATAATATCTTTTAAAATAATAACTCCTGTGTTTTATGAAGGAGACTAATGTTTGAATTACCAAACTCTCTCTTAGTTCTTTAGATATGGAGCTTAAGCAATCAAAAGCCCAGGAACTCTTCTTTCTATTGGGCAGATCTGCCTAACACTTTTTTATTTTGACAAAGAGTATACAGTTAGCATCTGAGCATCTCATAAATTCAGAGAGGAACACAATTAGGATATGGTGTGGAGCTGGGAGTTTGAGATTAAGTCTAAGTGATATTTCCAACTGGGGCTGGAAACGTGCTTTAAATAATTGTATTCTGATCATTCAGGTCTCTCTTTATAGGGCATCTTTTATGACCAAGACTGTCCAGTACCAAAATGAGCTACATAAATTCCTAATCTGGGATACAGCTGGACAAGAACGAGTAAGTCTCTCTTTAATTTACTGTGTGTTTTTCTGAGGCCCAAACCAAATTAAGGCTCCGACTAAACTGTCAATGTCCCTGTCATTTCACGTTACTCACTTCTCTTCTACACGCCAGAGACACATTATTTCCATTTGCGTAAGCCAGCCTTTTTCTTTTCAATTAGAGCCACAAAGTCCACTGATGGAGAAAGTGATAATGGGCACTGAAGGCATTTTTATACTTTTTAGTGTCTTAAAGTAAATGCTGACTAACAGGCCTGATAAAATCCCACTCGAGCATTGTGTGTAATTTGGGGCTTTGGTCTTGTAGTAAAGATATAAAAGAATCAGTGGTAGAAAGAGAGAGTTAAGCACAACTCATTTATAGTCGCCTTTTAAAAACTAAAGAGGGAACTTTACAGCGTATAAAGTTTGAGATTTAAGTGAAATGGATGAGCTAACACACTGGCTTGCAGTAGATACTTAATAAATGCCTGATGATAAAGTTGACCACAATGGATATCTGCCTAAGGAGGAGCCTAATCCACAGTGGGGCTGGCTGCAGCAGCATGGGCCAGATGCAATTTGGTTAAGCCCACCCAAATCCAAAGGGGTTGGGAATGGAACAGACACATACATACCTCCTGCCTCATCACCCTGGCTTTTGAGTCTGATTTCACTGCCAAGGTGCCTGTAGTGGTCACCCCATTATTCAAATACCATTTAATTTTGTACTATAAAAACAGAGCAGGGGTGGGGATTTAGCTCAGTGGTGCCACCGCCTGCCCCGCAAGTGCAAGGACCCGAGTTCGATCCCCAGTACCACAAAAAAAAAACAAAAAAAAAACAGAGCATCTGGGGCCTGGGATTTAGCTCAGTGGTTCCACTACCTGCCTCACAAGTGGAAGGACCCGAGTTTGATCCCCGATACCAAAAACAAACAAACAAAAAAAAGAGAGCATCTGATGGATGCACAGTGCTATTTTAAGCTCTTAAAGGGCCAGGGATTTAGCTCGGTTCCACCGCTTGCCTCACAAGCACAAGGTCCCGAGTTCGATTCCTGGTACCAAAAAAAAAAAGATTACATTAAGCTCTTAAAAGTATACCAGAAGTAATCAGGAAAAATAGTCTGTCATTGTGGTCTTATCTAAGAGAACATCGATACTGTGTATGGTATAAAATCTGGCAAGAATCATCACAGACAAATGGAGGAAAAAAACCAAGCCATTACCATTGTCCTAGATGTAGACACACGGTATGTGTATAGATTTAATATCTTAAGTTTGCTTTATTTGGTTTCTTCTGTTTTTAACGCTGGATGTCATGCTCCCATCCAATCACTCATCTGCTTATCGTCCTCCAAACTTCACTCCTTGTGTGCTGATGTTGTGTATGTAGAATGGGACATTTAGGACTGCTGGAACTTTTGCTAACCATCACTTTTCAGTCTTTTAGAAGTGTTAGTTACCAGAGTTCTCCTGGTACATAGCTGTACACACAGGCCTGGGATCTGTCCTATTAGTTACAAACTCACCAGGCTCTTCTGCTAATAATGTATGTGCACTTCCACTAAATCCCAAGTTCAGTTAACCTTACAGATTATTTGATGGTACAGCAAAGCCCTCATCATAAAGAATCATGCTGGAATATAGATCCTATTGTGCTTTCATCAGAGTCTGTCCTAGGGTACACAATGATATATAACATCCCTTTTTCTGGAACATGATAAAAGAAATAACCCAAGGGTGTGTACCCCTCCCTTTTTGCTAGCATGATTGCAGGTGTCTGTGAAGTTCTGTAATTAGCTGGTTTGGCTGCCTCTTTTTTGTCTACTTCTAATTGATCTGAAATGTGATCCTACCTCCCCACCACCTTAAGCACAGTCATACAGCCCAATGCTGGACAGAAGATGCTCATAAGGTCAGGATAGGGCCAGGGGCCCTGACCTGCAGGCCCTGCATTGGGGAGGCAGTCAGGAGGCTCTGGCCAAGTGTAGCTGGGCAAAAGCCCATGTCCAGGGTTGCCAAATTACAAGGCATGAGGGAAGCTAAACACCTGATAGCTCATCACAGATTGTCTGCAATACAGGGACAATCATGTAAAACATGTCTGTGAGCCCATTCTGGGTCAAGGACTGCCCATGTTTCCTGGGCAAGGCTTCAAGGCCGTGAATGTGCCAACTACAACCAGACTTTTATTTCACCTCTTCCCACCATTCTGTCCTCTAGTACCAAACTGCTTGTAGATCTCTAGCATGCCATACAGTCTTACAACCTCTTACCCTTCCTTCCACCTTTTGCCTGGAAAACTTTGTTCAGCCTTCAGAGCCCACTTCTGCTATCACCTGAAGGGGGACTTTCCTAACCACCTGTGTTGTTTAGGTGAGTACATTGCCATATATCCATGTTGCTCAAACCCAAATCTGGAGGTTGTCTTGGGGTCTTGATATGTCTGTTTACATATATAGTTGTGCCTTGGTTCACGAATGCTTTTGTTTGCAAACTCTGCATCGGGTGACAAACATGACTGGGCTATCTTCCCTGCAGTAACACAAATGTGGCCATTTTCTTCAGAATTGTGGAATAAATTAAGTTCATGAACCAAGATACCACTGTATCTAGATACCTTAAGTTCTCCCATCTCCACTGCCAGTTCACTGTTCTCAGCTGCCTTTCACTCTTGAGTTTTCCCGTAGCCTTTTAACTGCTCTCCCTGCTTTCTCTGTACCCAGCCCTGACGCGTATCATTTCTCACAGGACCCAGAGTCTTTTGGAAACATAAATCAGACCCTATTGTGTTCCTACTAGTATCTTTCAGTGATTGACCACTGCTCTTTTTCTCTGGCCACACTCTGAAGAGGCTGGCAGAGCCCACATGCCCTCTGGACTTCTCTTCTCAGGGCCCTCTCAGCCCACCCTCACTCTCTCCACTGTGTCTCAGCCCTCTGTCCTCCTTGCAGGTCCTCAGCAGCCTTTGCCATCAGGCCTTCACATGAGTTGGTCCTTCTCGCTGGCACTCTCTTTCCTCCATTCATAGGCTCCTCATCAGCTTTTTGTCTCAGATTAAAGGTTGCATACTCAGAGTTTTCCTCAACCTCCCTCTCCCTAAGCTAAGGTCCCCAGTTCATTCTCTGTCATTGCTTGTATTCAGTTTCCTCAAGACACTCATTACAAATTGTATTTAGGTGTCCATCTTCTTACCTTTATTGACTATCTGTCCTACTAGACTGTAAACTTAAAGAATCAGGACCACGGTGACTTGTTCACTACTATACTCCCAGCACCAGCACAGCGCCTGACATAAAGTTCATGTTCAGATACTGGTTGGATGTGTCAGGAAATGAAATCTCTGTATCCTGAACAGACTTTAATTGCTCTCATTCATGCAGTTGTCACCAGTTCCCTTACTTATCTGCCTTCCATTAGACCGAGCTCCTTGGGGCGGGGACTGTCTTCATGTCTCTCCTCTGAGCCACTGGCACATGGTGTTGATGCCAGTAGATTCATGCCAACCAATTGCTGTCCTACTTAGGCACAGATGAGGACAGACCCTCTACCTACTTTAACCATGTGAGTAGACCATGCCTCAGACTGTAGTTTTCTGGTGCTTACATGTCTGTTATTTGTTTCTATAGTCATGACATTCATAAGGAAACCAAAAATGTTGTAAAATGGGAACCCTTTTTGATAAACTGACCATTCGGACATCCTCCCCACTTGACCCTAGCATCTGTTGCAACACAGTTTTGACAGATTGGTTATCTTTCTGATGGTGATGGTAACAACGGGTTACAAAGTTCATTAAGTTGATGAAAGTGATTTTAGAGAATTTTTTTAATATGATATGAAGCCCTTGACCATAAGTATCTTGTTAAATAAAGAGACATACTGATCAGAATGCTGATATCGGTGCTTCAGAAGATAATCATTTACATATCAAAGGGTAAAGAGAGGCCATGGGAAAATTGACAGCACCCTCAAATATTTTTGTAGAAATTGCCATTTTTGTGGTAGAACTATGAGTCAAATATGAAGTGAAGGATATCATAATGTGCTAGCATGTAGTTTCATTAGAAGAATCACTGTCAAGTTATCAATTAACTTTGATTCAGAGTTCATCCAAAAATTTAGCTCCTAGATGTAAAAATAAACCTAAGTTTTTCAACTTCCAGGTAAGATGAAATGAGTTCTCATGATTTTAAACTTACTTTTCTCAAGGCAGAGCCTTTATGAATCCTTTTTGTCTGTATTATTTGCAATCCTGGATGAATTTGTTTCTTCACATTTTCCCACCAGTTATCCTTCACTAACAAAGGCTTCATCGGCCACATTGAGACAGACGCAGCTCATAAATTGAGAACCGTAAATATGTACCATAAATACACCATCAGTGTTTCAAAACGTTTCAAATGCTTGCCATCTCCATGTGATGACCTAGAAAAAAAGCTCCTTAACCAGATTCTCAAAGACCCTGCATCCAGACCCTAAGGATTTACGTCCCTGCGTCTTAATATGCTTTCTCCTGATGGCTGTTTCTACAGAGGTCAGAACACCAGAAAAGCGCACACCCATTTATTGTCACAGAAGTCATGTAAGGCATTGTTCACATTTAAAATCAGAAACAAGTAAAAGTAAAGTGGCTTGAGTCACCTAGTTCTGAGGTCAACAGACTTGACCCAAGGGCCAAATCCAACTTGCTGCCTGTTTTTGTAAGTTGGAGTTTCATTGGAACATAACCATACTTGTTTGTTTTTATTTTGTTTGTGGCTGTTTTCACTCTATAGTAGCAGAGATGAGTAGTTACAGCAGAAGTCTTGTGGCCCAAAAGCTAAAACTATTTACTGTCTAGTGCATGCCAGAAAAACTGCTATCGCCTGGCCTATAGCCATATTTGAAGCACAGATGTGCTGAGATCTTTTGAATCTCTTTATATGCTTCTGTCTTTCTTTATACCAAAAAGATGTGACAAGAGTTTCAACGTCAGTAACAGAAGTGTGGCTTTTAACAGCCTGACCCTCCC